GTTTCAGGTGAGGAGGCTACTATGGTAGTGACTGAACCTAATTTTAGAGTCATGAGAGGGCCATGGATTTTGGCTAGGTTGGCTAGTGAATGATGAGGTTTTGAACCTAGCTCTAGTAGTGAACCGATTATGGGGAAACCAGTAGGACCAGGGGGTAGCTTTCTGGATTTAGAATGGAGATATGTTTTAAAGAAGAACCAGCAAAAAAGGGAGATGCACAAGAGAAGGATAGTATGAAGTTCCATTTTTTCTCTCTTCTTTTCTAGTGAATTGATACAAATTAGAGAGCCAGATGTACTTATGTAGAGTTTAAATTAAAGAGGCTCCATATACACTTCTCTTTCCTACATTGGCACGTAATAAATAGGTGGTGAAAGTTAAAGGAAAAAATAATATATGACTACAACTTAGGATCCGATTGGAAGCCACCTGGTAATTACAATTGGTGTAATTACTAGGGTAGTATTTATACAGACTAGTAATTATACAGTTGTATAATTACGACGACTTGTTTGTTTGTTATAGTGTAATTTTAATGTAATTACAAGTTTACTGTTTGATTGCATAAGTGTAATTACACAGTTAGATTAAATTTTAAATGAAGTAATTATCAAAACTTAAAAGTTAATATAATAAATATATGACTATAAAAATTTTAAAGTATAAATGATAAGTATTATATATATTTATATATATATATATATAATATTCGTGAATATACATTATTTAGTAATCACATATTTATAACTAATATAATAAAAATAATTTTTATATATATTCCAAATTAATAATATTTAGTTTAGATACTTAAAAAAACTAAAAAGATACGTTTCATAAGAACATCATAGAATCCATATTTGATAAAATAAATTAACATTTATAATATAATATCATAACATTATTCAAATGTTTGAATGTGAACCAATACTACTAAAATAAGTAAAATTGGAACCATGGATATAACATAATTTCAAATTTTCAAAAAAAAAAATAGCTTAACATATGTTAAATTCCAACGTAATAATAGTAAGTTCCACTACAATGTAAGATTTGAAAACATATATAATAAGTTTATAACCACATTTAACAACGAGATTTTATTTTAATTGCATCACTCATTATATGTCAAGGTTGATAATGACTCATTATTTGTAATATTTGGAGGTGTAGTTTCAAAAAATAAAATAATAAAATAAATAAATAAATAAATAAATAAATAAATAATAAAATACAGACAATTACATGAAATCACAAGAAATAAAGGTAGAAAAATAAAAGATAAATAATGTACAAAGAAAAATATATTTTAAAATTTTTAAAGAAATTAAAAAGTAAAATAATAGAAATAAAAATTTATAAAGAAAATAAATTAAAATTAAAACAAAAAGGAAAGAAACTAGAAAGCAACATTGCAATTACACAGTGTAATTACCACCAATTCTTACCTCTCTCTTCAGAATTGGAGAATGTAAATATACCCCTCCAACCAATTTCATGTTGACCAAGTAATTACTTGGCCAAACAAACATGTCAAACTGTATAATTACACTCAATTACACCCAAATCCAATTCCTATGTGACTTTCCAAACAGCTTTTAATTTGGTCCCTTCGTTAGTGATAATTTTTCTTTATTCTGATTCCTGTGATATTTTGGTTAAGAAGTTTAAGTTTTTTGTACAGACAATATAAAATATTTACATAATCAGATAATTTATAATTATAGATAATGTATTAATTGGCAATCCGGTAAAATTGGTACGTAATTTTGGTGTCGCAGAGTAATGACAACTTAATTAAAAAGCCTTTTACACTGTGGATGTGTATAACTAACTAAATCCTTTGGTTATAAACACATAAGATCCAAATAAATCATTTTTGCAAGAATTTACAAGTAGAGGGACCAGAAACATAATTTTCACATTTTATTGATTTGTTCTATCTTAGAAGAACATAAAATTTTCGTTCGTTACATAATAGTTAGATAATGCAGTCCCATGCACTTCAAAATTTTCTAAGGAAGGCGAGCAAATGTTAGCGTAAATTGTCAACTTCATTATAGGTAAGACGCTGAAGAGCTTCCGTATGTGTTCTTCGCTTTTCATTTCTAGTGCTGTGGTCAATTTCCTCGATTCATTGTGCGTAATCACAAAGACCGAACGCTTTTGTACATGAATTTTATTATACTAATAATATATATCCTATTAATAGGTGAAGTCGGGAAGAGCTGTAAAATTAAAGAAATCACTTGGGACTAGGTAATTGCCTATATGCAAGACTGACACCTTGATTTATTAACTAGCTTTATTCTTTTCTTAGTAAAAGAAATAATGGTTCGTTCTCTTTTCGGTGCATCACTACAAATCAAAGAGAAAAAAGTATTTTAGTTTTGATCATTTTATATAGGCTTAGAACAGGGGTTAAGCACTTCTTGTTGATAAGTTGTCGTATTCTTAAAGCTGTGGCCGGAGTTGGATGTTCTCAAATTGAAGTCATACAAAGTAGTAAAAGTCTAATTAGACATGAATTATAACTAAGTTCAATTATCCCTTACGAAAATTCAAAGGGAATTTTGGAAGGTTTAGTACCTAAAATTTGTTCTGACNTTTTGTTCTGGCATTTTCCTATAATTTGAACTGAATGATTATGATGATATGACTAGTGTTTTTGTAAAAGAAAATGAAATTTGAGTCTAATTCTAAATTAAAACGTTATCCTATGAGTTGTGGATTGCGCCAAAGACCATACAAGAAAATAACTATTTATCCGTTTCAGGAAAGTGATCCATAAGCTTAACTCAATATCCAAAATTAATTTATGAGGCAAGTATTGCTCAAAATAAAATAAGAGACAATAATTTATCCCTTTAACCAATTTGGGGCATCGTAACAGTTTTGGAGAATTCCAACTCAAGGAGCTGTAAGAACACTGCAATTGTCAATAATGGCTAATTCTGTTCTTCTGCGGCAGCAAAAAATTAGGACCCCTTGTTGTGTTTCCCGTGCTCCGTAATGTATATGGCTCAACAACGGGACATGCCGTCACGTCCCGACCCACTTAATTCTAAACGGGATGGCCTATGTAAAACGGGACACGTGATGGGACGGGATGGTCATTTCGTCCCATTTATCTCGTCCCGCCTATCCTGCGTCTTTTTTAATTTTTTTTTTGGGAATGAATTATAGCCGTTGGCTAACGGCTTCAATTGTAAACATAGCCGTTCCCAACGGCCAAAAAGGGTCATATTTGGCCCCCTCCCTCCAAAAAAACCCCTCCCCCAAACTTTTAATATAATCCTTAAGTTTATTAAATTATAATTTGGCCCAATTTTTTACTATAAATACCTCACGTCCTTCTTCATTTTTTCTCACAAAAATCAATCTTTCTCTCTCAAATCTCTAACATTCTATCTATATTATTCTCTCAATTTTCTCACAATCAAGTGATAAGTTTCAAGTATTTGGGCAAATTTTTGGAGCAACTTTCAAACTTCAAATTAATTCGTCAAGTATTTGGAGTAATTCTTGGGCAATTTCTTCAAGTTTCGATATTTAATCATGGTGCACTCGTTCCATTTCCTAATTTTAATATATAATTTTTGCGTATCGTTTTTGTGCTTAATTTTTGTGTTTACTTTACGTGTTATATTTTCGTATTTCATTTGTGTATTTAATTTTTTTGTTAACTTTTTTAATTTAATTTCGTATTTAAATTATGGCACCTAAAATGTATATGGCCTATTTTAAAAAAATAGTAAAAAAAGTAGTAAAGGTGATAGTAGTAGTCTTAATCCTAATCCTTCTCCTAGAATTAAAAAATATATAGTTGAAATGACTCATGTTGATGAAACTTCATTTTCCCAACCCCCGCATGTTATAATATTAATGTTAGAGAACAACTAGATCATGAAACTTTACAAAGATAATTTGGCAATAATATTTTTATTGAGGACGAAGAAAATGAGGAAGAAGAATTAGATGAAACACCCCCTAGTCCCATAACACAAGCTCCAACTCGGAGTCAATCTCAGTCTGGAGCTTTACCCCATGTACCTCCTGTAAGGGGTAAGCCTAAGGTTGAACGTCCCAAAACATCACTTGTATGAAAATATTTTAAACATGATAAAGTCAATCAACGTGTTATATGTGAAAAATGTAAGCAACAATTTGTACACAAGACTAGTAGAGGGACGGGGGGTTTAGCCAGGCACTTACATAAGGAGCACAAATCTTTATGGATACAAGCTAACATAGAAGCCGGAAAAAATTACGGATGCTAGCACCGGTACTGGCGCTCCTTAGATAATACTTCTGCCAACACAACCGCAACAACTAGCTTAAGAACTAGACTTTGTCAAATTAATCCGGTAATTTTTATGTTAGATGTGCATGCCGTATTTTAAATTTGGTTGTAAAAGATGGTATAAATTTATTTTCTTGTGCTTGTAGTAAAGTACAACATGCTTGCAGCTATATTTTTAAAGCTAATAAAATAGTAGACTTCGTGAATTTGCTCAACAATGTGCTAGTGCTAACCTTCCATATAGAAAAGTTCCAAAAAATATATGTACTAGATGGAATTCTACTTATGAAATGCTTAAAGTTGCTTATGATTATCGGGTGCCTTAAAAGGCATTTATTATGCATAATGGTATCCCCGCTGATCCAATTGTTGATTCTGATTAGGATGCGATCAAAGAGCTTATTAAATTTTTAGAAAATTTTTATTATGCAACAAAATAATTTTTTGGTATATATTATCCTATTGTTACACAAATATTATGGTATATTTGTGGAATTTCTGTTATATTTGTTAAGTATAAAATCAACCTAACTTATGAATCGGCCATTAATGAAATCATTGCAAAATTCAAAAGGTATTTTTTTCATATTCTAGTTTATTTAATTTTTACTCTACTTAACCCATCTTTAAAATTAAGAGGTGCAAAGAAATTTGTTCGTAAAATTTACGAGAATTTAGAAATTCAAGAAAATGAACAACCATCGCTCGAATACTGCCAAGCTAACATATATTCTTATGCTAGATCAATGTTTGATAAATATAAATCTATGGAAACAACAGGTGGTGAAATTGCTCCTTCTACTTCTAAGTCTAGAGTAGAAGTTATATGGGAAGATATGTATTATATAACAGGTTTTGATTCCTCTATTGATGATGAACTTGATTCTTATTTTAATCAAGGATTGAAAAATATTAAAAACGAAGAAGGCAACGAACAACTTTTGGCATGTTGGAGGGAGTGTGGCAAGGATTTTCCAACACTTTTAATAATGGCCCGATATATCCTGGCTATTCAAGCATCGTCCGTAGCTGATCACGCCCAACTATTATAAAAGGGACTAATTGGTCGTTGCAAATATAATCTGGTTTACAAGTCCGGAGTCGAATCCCACAGAGAACTAAGGCTTAGCTACAGTTGTTCAATATTGCTAAGAAACACAAGTTCAAACAATTTCTTAATTATAAAGATTATGATGTTTATTTTTATCTAATTCACTAACAAATACTAGAAAGCAATAAAGCTATCAATTAACAAGGATAAGGATTGGAGACAAGATTAAGGAAGTCTAGAGTCATGATTTCCCCTATTGTCAGAATCATTTTCGCTATGTTTTCTATAAATTCGCCTAAGTATTCTCTACCGATCATGAGCACGCTGACTGTCGTAACTCTCTCTCTCGAGTAATTACCACAATTTACTAGATATATTCTCTCGAATTACGCTAGCTGACATTAAGTACGGCTCACTCGGATCGCACCCAAGGTTTCGTTATCCCGAATCCCACCTTAAAACCCTTCGTATTGATCCCTTATATACTTTAGGAGTAATGTTTTACAACAACTACCTAAATATGTACTCTCTCCCGAGTAATACACACTTAATAGGCACAGTAGATTGAGAGCTCTTCAATCAACCACAATAATAACGTAGTTGAGCAAATAGAGAAAATACTACAGGAAATCTATAATAACGTAATAGGAAAATCATCCTCCAATAGGTTCCATCAAAACCCTAGATAAGAAATTAGCTATTCATAATAGTATGCATAACCACAATACTAGAATTCATAACCAATAATGAAAATAGGAAGAAGGAAGTGAAAAACTTGTAGAAGAATTCTCTGTCTTGCTCCTAGTGTGTTCTTGTCTCCTTAGGTCGAATCCCCAATCTCCTTAGGTCTAAATTATGTCAAAAGTATGTCCCTCGTCTCAAAATAGCATTTTTACATGTATTTATATCAAGTAGGGTCGGGCCCAGACGAAAATACCTTCTCTCACGTGAAATAGGACAATCACTCTGTAAAATTTGCACTACCGCATGATCGGCTCCAATCCTACACTACTATAGAGTGGCAAGAGCGGTCGATGCAGCTTTTACCCGAAAAGGTCGGGATCGAATCCACAAGGAGCTAAGATATTTGGAGTTGGATTCCAATCTAATCTAACAATGTGCAGTGTTCTTGATTGCACTTCCAA